TTAGATGAACATTTGAGCATTAGATGAATGTTAGATAAGTGTTAGATGAACATTTGAGCATTAGATGAATGTTAGATAAGTGTTAGATGAACATTTGAGCATTAGATGAATGTTAGATAAGTGTTAGATGAACATTTGAGCATTAGATGAACGTTAGATAAGTGTTAGATGAACGTTTGAGCATTAGATGAACGTTAGATAAGTGTTAGATGAACGTTTGAGCATTAGATGAACGTTAGATAAGTGTTAGATGAACGTTTGAGCATTAGATGAACGTTAGATAAGTGTTAGATGAACGTTTGAGCATTAGATGAATGTTAGATAAGTGTTAGATGAACGTTAGATAAGTGTTCGATGAATGTTAGATAAGTGTTAGATGAACGTTTGAGCATTAGATGAGCGCTTGATGAATGTTAGATGAAGGTTTGAGCATTAGATGAGCGCTTGATGAATGTTAGATGAAGGTTTGAGCAGGTTGCTCTCCAGATCATCTGAGCTGCATTTGCTGAAGATGCAGTTTTTGACAGAAATCAGTTTGTTCATTTTGTTGATGAAAGAGAGTTTGAGCTGCTTGAAGTTTGAGAATTAGATGTTGAGTGTGTCTTTGTGTGTGTGTGTGTGTAATGTACTCCTCATCATGTTCATTTCCCCTCATCTGTGTACAATGATGGGCGGCAATTACACAATTACAGCCGCTGTAAGGAGACACAGAGAGAGACACACACACAAACACTCTCTCTCTCTCACACACACACACACACACTCACTCTCTCTCACACACACACTCACTCTCTCTCGCATACACACACACACACACACACTCACTCACTCACTCTCTCTCACACACACACTCACTCTCTCTCGCATACACACACACACACACACACTCACTCACTCACTCTCTCTCACACACACACTCACTCTCTCTCGCATACACACACACACACACACACTCACTCACTCACTCTCTCTCACACACACACTCACTCTCTCTCGCATACACACACACACACACACACTCACTCACTCACTCTCTCTCACACACACACTCACTCTCTCTCGCATACACACACACACACACACACTCACTCACTCACTCTCTCTCACACACACACTCACTCTCTCTCGCATACACACACACACACACACACTCACTCACTCACTCTCTCTCACACACACACTCACTCTCTCTCGCATACACACACACACACACACACTCACTCACTCACTCTCTCTCACACACACACTCACTCTCTCTCGCATACACACACACACACACACACTCACTCACTCACTCTCTCTCACACACACACTCACTCTCTCTCGCATACACACACACACACACACACTCACTCACTCACTCTCTCTCACACACACACTCACTCTCTCTCGCATACACACACACACACACACACTCACTCACTCACTCTCTCTCACACACACACTCACTCTCTCTCGCATACACACACACACACACACACTCACTCACTCACTCTCTCTCACACACACACTCACTCTCTCTCGCATACACACACACACACACACACTCACTCACTCACTCTCTCTCACACACACACTCACTCTCTCTCGCATACACACACACACACACACACTCACTCACTCACTCTCTCTCACACACACACTCACTCTCTCTCGCATACACACACACACACACACACTCACTCACTCACTCTCTCTCACACACACACTCACTCTCTCTCGCATACACACACACACACACACACTCACTCACTCACTCTCTCTCACACACACACTCACTCTCTCTCGCATACACACACACACACACACACTCACTCACTCACTCTCTCTCACACACACACTCACTCTCTCTCGCATACACACACACACACACACACTCACTCACTCACTCTCTCTCACACACACACTCACTCTCTCTCTCACACACACACACACACACACACTCTCTCACACACACACACACACACACTCACACACACACTCTCAAACAGACTCGCGTACACACTCACATGCATGCTGTGAGTGACAGTGTTCTACAAACGTGGCACTCAAGTTAAAGTAATATCAACTTTTATAAAACACCCACACACTAACAGAAAACTCTCTGCATTTGTGAAAAAAATCTTTATTTGCTTCATTTTTAGATTGTTTTCAAATCAGGACATCCACAAAAGGAGATTTCGTCAGGTTTAACTCATTTCTGGGTACAAACACACAGGCGTGTTCTGTGTTCATGCACTGATCAGCACTGGTGATTCATGAAACAGTGTGTTGATTTACTGTTCACTGCTGTGTGTTTGTGGGGGTTTCACTAAGGTCCTGTACAGCGGTGGAGGGTGTAATGTTGTGAGCAGCGCATGTCGTATCCCATCATGTCTCTGTGTTTGACCTGCTTCCGTCCTGAATCTGTGGTCAGACTGACCGTTGATCATGTGATCTCTCTCTCATCTGTGGTCAGGTGATTCTGCCGGATCTGGCCGTGCTGCGCATCGCTGTGTAC